ATGTATGTTCTTTATAATAGAGATAAATATATATATATATGAACATACATAGAGAAGAAAAACTCTAGTTTTCTTTACATATGTGTATATATTTCAAAGAAATCTGAGAAACAAATCTCCATTCTGCCACTCACTCACTGTTTCTGATCTAGGTCTTAGTTTCCTCCTCTGCAAAGTGGGAATAAAAATCCCTTCTTGCTGTACTCTCCAGGGTTGTTGTGGAGGCCCAGTAGGGCAGCCGGTGTAAAAGTCACAGAAAGGGAAAGCCCCTTATGTGTAGACATAGATGTTGATGTCATCGGAGGTCTGGTCACAGAGCCAGTGCTGTGGGCACCTGGCTGCTGGGGAGGAAGCCCCCCCCCCCATAAGATTAGCCCCTACTTGGTGCTGGTCCTCACCGAGGTAACAGCCTTCTCTGTACAAGCCCCCATTTCCATGCTTGCATGGCCACGTGTGCAACGGCCACGCTCTGTCTTGGTCCTGAGCATGTGAAGTTCTCACAGGCTGACTTGTCTAAAATAAGTCAGCGGGACCGACCGCATAGGCAGAACCTTCTCAAAGCCACCCAAAGCACAGCACTGCCGGGATTCTCTTCTTGTCCATTTATCGGCACTTGCAAGTGTGTGGAAGATGAACGCCAACCCAACTGCGGAGCACCAGACCTGGGGAAGTTCTGGATCATCCTCTCTTCTCCTCCATTGTCCCCACTTACAGAGGGCAAAGCTGAGGACTAGGGAGGTGGGTGACATCCCTGCGGGTACAGAGCCCAGCAGTGACAGAGGGAGGACTAGACGCATTTTACTTGTTTCCCAGATCTGGGGTTCTCGCAACAAAACTTTGTCCCCCACATATTTGCCAGGGGCCCACCGCGTACCAGGTACACACGGTGAAAAGAACATATGGGGTCCCTGCCCACAAGCAGCTTCTATTCTAGTGGGAGGGACAGTCAAAAAACAATCCAATAGGGCAGGCAGGTAAATAAAAGTATGCAAGTTGCCTGAGTGCTTTGATGGCATGTCTGAAATGGATGACAGTGGGGAGGTTTCTAATTTATCTGTGGTGCTCAAGGAGGGCTTATCTGAGGAGGTATGTTTCTGCAAGATACAGGGAGAGCATGTCAGGCCACGGAATCCACACATGCAAAGTCCCACAACAGGAAGGAAAAGGAACCCTAGCAGAGGACGGGAGCAGGAAGCAGGGGTGAGCTTGGAGAGAGGAGCAGGAATTTTGCTGAGCCTTGAGGGCCACTGTGAACAGTTTGGATGGCATTTTAAGCGCCCTGTGGTACTGGGCTGAGGGAGCGGGACAGGAACGGGAGCAAGGGGACCCTCGAGGAGGTCCCTGCAGAGGTCAGGGTGAGAGGGATGGTGGCCCAGCCAAGGGCAGTGGAGGAGGAGGTGGCAGGAAGAGAGAGGACTGGAGATCTATTTTGGAGCTAAACTTGCAGATGGATGGATTGGCAGGGGTGGGGTGCAGAGCAGGCTGGAGAGGGAGGCAGCCAGGGTGGCTCGGAGTTTCCGGCTTAAGTAATCCTCAGGCCCAGGGCTGTGCAAAATCCCTAGGGAAGACTTGCTCCAGGGCTTTTTACCAGAGTGCCCCCCCATCTCAGCCTCCTCCTGGCTAATAATAGCCTCCTGGTGCAGGAAGAGTCATCAGCCTGCCTGTTCAGCAGCTGGAGAAACTGAGGCACACATCAGCAGAGCAAACTTCTCCTAAGAGAGCCAGCTATAGGAGCTAGACAGAGCCAGAGCTGAGCCCCAGAAACAGCCTTTGGGCACCAGAGTTCTGAAGACCCTGGTGTCCTGTCCCGTTTTACAATTCATCGAGCCCCGTGACCTTGAACAAGTGGTGAGACCTCCGTGAGCCCATTTCCTCATCAGTAACATGGGGACATGAGAGTATCTACCTCATAGTGAGGATGCAGAGGTGAAGAGGGTGGGGTACACCCTCAGTGGACATTAGCTGTTTCTGTTTCTGGAGAGCACGGTCCAGATCCGTCTCCACCTCTCTGTACCCGTGCACACAGGTGGTCTGTATGTGTGCACGCACCTTCAGAAGCCGCGGGCGTGCCTACGTCACCGCCGAGGCACCACCGAGGTGGCAGGCACCACCGAGGTCTAGACGGTAGCCGGTTTGCTCCCTGGGCTTCTGTTTAGCCTTCTGAGCCATGCTGGGTGGTTGGAGTAGGAGCTTTCATCCTCCCTGGACCAAGAGTTGTGGGTTTGGAGGCAGATGTGAAAAGCAAGGCGGCTGTAAGCCAGCTGTTTCCAAGAGCTCTGATCTACCTGACCAGGAAGAGGGGTGGGGGTGGGGGGGGGTGGGAAAGGGCAGGGAGAGGAGGAGGGGCTCGAGCCAGGGAGGGAGGGGAAGCAAAAAGGGCCTAGGAAGGAGCCACATCCCAAAAGGAAATGCACAATAACAGATCTAGAGTCTGGCCAACCCGGAACCCCTTCTGTGGATGGCTGTGCTAGCCTCCGCAGTCTCCTTTCCCCGCCCCAGCCCTCCGAAACTCCTTTCTGTTCCCGTTCCCAGCAGGCACCTGGCACGGGGACTGAGAACAAGGAGGCAAGGCTGGAGGGGGCCGTAGGGTAGGGCTCCCCACTTTTTGCCCAGAGCCCTTCCGAAGGGCGTGCCCCAACTGGGCACACACAGACAGTGATTAAGGGGGAGGGAGGAGGGAGGAATGACATTGACTGTCCACTGCGGGGCCCAGCCTGTGGGCTGGCCAGTGGCCAGCTCTCCCCCCCAGGCTCTTGGCTGCAGCTTCTCGGGCCCTGGCCCCACCCACTGGCCTACTCAGACACTCCTTCAGGTCGGGGCTGGAGCCCTGCTAGGAGGGGCCGCCTGGGGGCAGGCTGGGCTCGGCACTGCAGCTCTCCCCCACCCCTCCTGGCATCCTCCCTCCACCACCACTCTGCCCAAATCCAGCTCCAGCTCCAGCTGGGTTTGAAAGAGGTGCTCCAATTCTCCCTCCCTCCCTCCCTCCCTAGCAGGCCCTGCCCTGCACTCTCTCTTTCAGCCAGAAGCTGCATCCCAGCAGAAGCTGCATCCCTAAACTGGTCGCACCACACAGACCCCAGCCTGATGTTGCATTCACTGGGAGAACCTTCTCTGCCTGGCCAGCTGCCCCCTCCCCAAGCCTTCACTCCTGCACCTAACATGCCCTCCAGCTCCCAACCAGCCCAGTCCCCCTCCTGCAGCCCTTTCCCTGAGCCCTGTCTTCATGTCTTCTCTTGGCTCCTTGTCTGCTCAGCAGAACTAGCGCCCTGCTCCTTAAGTACCATTTATAGGGTTGTAGGTGCCCTGCTGCACACTGACTGACCCCCTGTGCTCTATCTCCCCACAAGGCATGAGGCTTTGAGGGGGGCGCCCCTCTGCACCACCCCACACTGTCTCCACCCAGACCATTGAGGTAAACCTCTTCCGGGCGCACAGCAAACACAACTGGATTGATACCACTCCATCCGGGTCCCATACTGGCACTTTCACCTACCGGGTATGAGTGGAGTATGAGTTCCAAATGACTGGATATTTAATTAGTGACTTTGTGGACAAAGGGATTTGGCTTTTTGTTCCTGGGTTTGGGTGTTCCGGGAATACATGGTTTTTGATTAAAAAAAACAAAAACTATGGAGTCACCCAATCTTGGAAACTGTCCACCTGCCCCGATGAAGTGCTTCCCCTTCTGAACTTCAGTGACTGATTCCCTGATGTTTCACCCCCTCCCCCACTTTATTCCACGCCTCCCTGGCTCCAAGACTCTGTCCCCCCACCTGCTGTTCATGACCCTCCCACTGTAGTAAGGAGCGCCTGACAAACCCATTCCTGCCCTTGCCCATGGATATTTACAGTTTTGGAAGCACAGAGAGAGACCCTTCCTGCCCTTCCAAAGCATGTTGCCTGCCTGTTGCAGGCTATCTGCAGGGCGTGCCCCACGAAGGAATGAATCACTAAGACTAGAATTTCAGGCAGGGGGCACCTGTTGGAGAAAATATTTTAGTCTGAACCATCTTCCTGGGGTTCTTGACCTTCATGGGCTGATGGACCTGTGGGATTTACCTTTGGCTTTGGGGTGCTTTACAGCTAGTGGCCTGCCCTTGGAAGAGTGGCAGAGGCCACAGACAGCCAGAACTCTGATTGGGCTCCTTCGTTTTGTGCTGATTCTCCATGGCACAGGGGGCTGCTGATCAATAGGGAAGAAGAGCTCCCCTTGGCTCCTTCTCCTTATCTGAGGAGAGCCAGCATAGACACCAAGGGGTTAATGAAGATTTCCCCCTCCCCAGGTGAAGGACGGTTCTCCCAGAAAGAGGGAGGCAGGGCCTCCCCAGCTGGCAGTTCTCAAAAAGGGTATGGTGTGTGGCTTTAAGGAACAGCCACACCTCTCTGTAACTGGTGCTTGGCCCACCCCAGATGTGGACTGTTGAATCTCTGGTTGGCATTTCTGAGTCAGTCTTAGAATGGAGACAAAGCAGCAGAGAGCCTGTATGACATGTTTGTTGCGGGGAGTGGGGGAGGCTGGGGGGGCTTCTGGCAGTGGGATCCCCCATTTTAGGCCTCCTGGCTCCACCTGGGCCAAGCCCAGCTGAACTGGGGGCGGGGGGAGGGAGGGAGCTGCAGTTCTGTGCTTACTTCCTGCACTTTCTTCTTTTTTATTTGCCACTTGAATGCTCTCCCTGCAGTGTTTGATTTGGTGAAGTTACACTCAAGACCCTTTGAGAAGAAAACATAATTCTAGTAATTTTATTGGACTCAGGTTTCAGGCAAATGGAAATAAAATTGCCTCTAAAAATAAAAGACACACAGAATTGAGTAAAACAATAATAATAAAAACCTGCCCTGATTTGAGATAAGTGGTAAGGCATTTTGTGAAATAGTAGAGGGAGAATAAATAATCGAGGAGCCCCAGGGGCAGGGGTGGGGGATCCCCTCCACCCCCCCTCCCCCCGCTTTCATTTCTGCTTTACCTTTACGAAAGAGTTTCATCTGCGTGTGATAAAGTGAAGCACAGAGCGCGGCTGGTGAAGTTGGTCCTTGCCCCGCGCTTAGCAGTACAGGTGGACGACAGGGGCTGCCTGCCAAATACTTTGGTTGGAGGGAGGGGTGGGAGTGCTCTCTCAAAACCACTCCTGGAATGGCTTAACTCGCCCAGCGCGAATCAATGACAACCTCCCGCGGGCTGCGGCAGGCTCCCCTGAGCAGCGCTGCCGCGTGGATCCCCAGCCCGGGACCCTCGCGGCGCTCAGGACTCGGCTCCGGCACGAGCGCGGCGCCCCCGGGGCGGCCAGGTGGGTGTGCGGCGGCCGGGGCGGCTGGGTGCCGGGCCGAGAAGGGACAGCCGGGCGGCAGAGGCGGGTAGGGAGGGGACCCCTTCTGGGCGCTGCGGGGACCCCCTGCCCCCGGCGTGCGCTCCCACTGTCCGGATGGGAGTGGCGGCGCCGGCAGCAGGGGTCCCCCAGATGCTCCCGCGCTGGGGCCGGACCGAGGGTCCCGGGGACACCGGGGCTGGGGTCCCCGAGCTGACCGAGGGGCACGCGGCCGCGTCCCTCCCCGCCGAACGTGGGAGGGACTCTGGAACTCTATATGCAACTCTTCTGGCTTGTCCGTGTCCCGCCACCCCCGTGGGCAGCTTTCGGTGGCGGGGAGAGGGGACTGCGAGGCACGAGGGCCGCTCCGGAAGGGAGTGGAGGACAGACGCGGATCCTTTAAATGTCCTCCCTCCAAAAAAGCTCGGACTTCCCCAGTGTCAGATGCAAAACTCGGGGGGTAAGGGGGAGACCAGAGCCGTGACAACTGCGGGCAGAAGTCGAGGTCCGGGCAGGAGCAGAAATTAAAGGGGCGACCGGCAGAAGTCCCTGGGCGAGCTGTAGGGAGTCGCGTTGCGATCCTCGGGCTCGAACCGCCCACCAAACTGGGTGGGCAGGGGACCCTTCCCGGCGCCCCCATCTGCGCGAGGTGGGCGGGGCGACTCCCTCCGGCTGTGCAGTCCAGCCCGGGTCTCTGAGCCCCCGGAGCGGCTGTGTGCGCCCCCACCCCTGCCGGCGCCCTGGCCGTCGCCCTCCCGATCGCCTGGTTGGCTGAGGCGGGGGCTCGACGGCGGCGGGCCACGGGGCTGGCTGGGGACTCACTCTGCGAAGAGGCCCTCGCCGAGCGTCCCTAGTGCGGTGCAGTTTTCCGCGTGCCTGCGGTGAGGGCTCCGGGGTGCATCCGGTTCGGTTGCCCGCCAGAGTTTCTGGCTTCTGTTGTCCTGGCTGTGGGCAGGCGGGCAGGGCACGACTGCGCTCTTTCTTTGAACCCCCGGTGCTGGGTTTCACAGGGGGCAGCCCCGTTCCCATGATTCATTTGCAGGCTGTTGGCATATCCCTTCCAATCCCTCCTCCAAGTGCCGAATTTTGAAAATGTAAAGGAAGTGTTTCAAACAATCAGACTGTTTTCTCCAGATTGGATAGAAGGTTTTGTGGGAAGGGAGGGGAAGGTCCTGCCAGGTTCAAGTTTAAGCTCCACTCCTTTACCCAGTGATGAACTGGGGGATCAGAAAGGCCAGGAACCCCCCCCCCCCCATAGATCTCCAGGAAAGGAAAGTAACCTGGCTACCGCCCTTAAGGCCCAACCTGGGCTGAAAAGGAGAAAAAAGTCACTCTCCCTAAAATTGCTGGGGTCAGCCAGTGCTCCGTCTTGGCGCTGGTGTCTCATACTTTTTTCTAAACTCTCCCCAACTACCATACCTAGGGCAGGTGTCTTCATCATCTGCATTTTACAGGTGAGGAGGGACTGAGGCCAAGGGGGTCTACTGAGTCCAGTGTGCCTTACCCAGATCCACGGGACACCAGTGCCACACCCGCCTGGTTTCCAGAACTTCATGAAACTGGTAGATTTGGATCCCACCCAGCACCTCTGAGACCTTGGGGAGATGCAGACCGGAGTCAGGCCTGAGCCCCTACCTCCGGACAGCCACACAGAGATGAGGCTTACACAGGATAGTGAAGCTAGGTAGCAAGTAGGTTGTCTTCCCCAGACAACCAGGAGAGGCCCTTTGCAATCAGATCACAGGCATTTTTGCAGCCAGAGGGTCAAGAAGGGCTTCTGATCGGAAATGATATTGGGCAGAGGAAGAACAAAAGAGCAAAGGCCTGGAGGTTGCATAGAACTCAAGGCCTATCGTTCTGCGTCAGTGCTGGGAGTAAACCAGAGGGTACATGGCAGGGAAGGAGGAGATGGGACATTCAGAGATCAGGTGCCAGACTGTGCTTGGCACACATTATCCTGTAACCCACATCCCTCATCAGATAACCACTAGTCCCACTTTGTAGATGTGGAAACTAAGGCTTAATGGGGTTAAGTCCAGCTTATCAGTGACCGAGCCAGGAGTCAAAGCAGCCCATTACACCTACCGCCTTTAGAATCTTACACTTCAGTTAGGGGAGGCAGAAATCCCCTGATAGCATTATAGCACAGCACAAATTGTGTGTAAGTGTTAACAGTAGTAACTGTTTTAAACCTTAGTTTCTTTCCATTCAGTCTGTCATTTATTCAACAACTACTGTGTCGTCTAATGTGTGATTCCAGGCACGTTGCGAAGCGTTAAGGGCTGAGGACTTCAGCAGGTCAAGTCCGACCGGGTCCCGGGGCTCTGTCAGTGGGAATGGCAGTGACTCATCCTTTAGTGGGGACTCACTGGATTTATTTATTTATTTTGATTGAGCGGATTTAATGAGACCATATGTGGGAGAAGGAGGAATGGCAGGAGGCCTGGGTGAGGAGGCGGGTGGACGGCTGGAAAGCTGGCCTGTCCATGCTGCAGTCACAAGGACTCATCCGTGGCCCTAGCGGACCTGTGGAAGGTACACAGTAGGCACGCAGCTTTTTGAACCCCTGCAGCTGCGATGATCAGTTCACGGTTGTGGGTTCCGAGATGGGCTTTTAGTTTTGGCACGTCCCAGCTGGAGATGTCAGGAGCCCCATGCAGCCTCCAGGAGGACTGGCCCCTCTCTGGAGCAGGGCCAACAGCGTGGGAACTGCCCCCAGAACATCACTGTCTTGAGGCATCAGCCGCTTTACACACACACACACACACACACACACACAGAAGGCCAGAGCTGTGCTTGCAGCCCTCATCCGACCACTGGGGAGGCTCATCCGTGTTCGCAGGACTTGGTAGCAAAGCTAGCACTAGAACCCATGTCTCTTGGCCATCTGTAATTCTCGGAGCAGCCCACACTAGCCTGCCAGGGCGTTTCGGGGCTCAATGCCAAAGACCCTGTTCCACTTGCTTGTACCCGCACTTCAGGGCCATTTCCTGATGCTCCTGTCCATCTCCATTTTAGCTGACCTGACATATCTGTCCTAATAAAATGGTGGCAGATGGACCTTTGGGACAGAACAGCCATAAATATTCTAGGACATTTGGCCTGTTACCTGTCCTTCCATCTTGAATGGTATAATAGGTGTAAGATCACTACCTCTAAAATTAACTATCACTTTTGTGAGGAAGGTGAACTGATAAATCTTTCCTTGAAGCCATACCCCTCCAAGTAATGTTCTGGGGCCTTCCTTCTTTGGAACTGACACAGGCACTTCTGGGAGGACTTTTTTTTCTTCTTCCTTCTCCCCCTCCCATCCCCTTTAGAAAATATCTTGTGTTTGGGGGGGTCACAAGATCACATTACGTTCTGTTTTGATGTCAGAGTGCCCGGATAAAGGCATTTTCTCCTGATCTGAGATTATCAGCCCAGTAAGGGCAGTGAGCACCCCAGTGGCTGTCCCGTGTTTGTAGCAATTACACAGGTGTGCATTTGCACGGGGATGTTTATCTGCTCAGCCCTTACTCAGTCCTCTAGGCTGGGCCAGGGAGAGAGCTGTTCACTTTATTTTCCTTTGGCTGGGAACTGCAGAGATGAATAGAGGGAGGGGAATCTGGGGCTGAGAGATTGTTGCCAAGAGCCATTTGAAGTCTCCTTCATATTAGTCAGAGATTGTGTTTTTCCTTTCTGAAGCTGCCTGCCTCATGGTAACTTCCGCGAAGGAATTTTTTTCCCATCTTTGTGTGTGTGTGCGTGCGTGTGTGTGTTTTAACGTGTGCACATGCGTCCTTGTTAGTTTTTGTTTTGGTTTTTAACTTGCCAGACTTCTCATGACTTAGCACAAAAAAAAAAGAAATAGCTTGGGGAATGGGGTGATGAAACAGGTCCTTTATACAATACATTCTGCATGTCATTGCTTAATAAATTTGAATAGTGATAGACCCCGAGGTTTCATGATGGAGTGAGATGAGTAATTCCTGTGAAGGGAGAGTTTATCTTTAGTGGATGACTTTGAGAATTGCCACATAATTTAACTTTCCCGCTGCACATCTTGAGCCTGTGTTTAGAAAAAGAGGAATGTGGGCTGTCTTCTTTCGAACTCCCTTTTGTTCCATAAGGAAGCCCCCTCTGTCGATGCCTTGCCTGGGAGAGTACCAGTCGGCTCTGCCCCCTGCCCTCTCACGGTCTCCCCTGCGCCCCCTCCACCATGCAGGAGGCCAGCTAGCGAGAGGGAAGCTTCCCCTGTGGGGTAAGAGCTCTTTCCCCATGGTGGCCTGGCTTGTGTCCTCATGGAGGACGGAATAGGAAAGCTGGTGTGTGCCAAGCCTGCCCATCCTGGGACAGCAACCTGGGGTGGAATGTTTCTGCATCAGCAGAGAAGTGAGTTCATCCTCTGAACAAATCGTGTGGAGCAACACCGAGACTCCAAGCTGGAAAAATTGCCTAATAATACAGTACACAATCTAGGTCGGCTTTTTCAAATTAGATACAAACCAGAAGCAAATGTACACGTGACCCTCACAAATGATATCACAGAACTGAACTTGGCACACTCCTTTTCCCAGGGCTCCTTCTTTTCTGGCTATGGATTCTGGCTGACAATCCTGTTAAGTTGTTTCTGGAGCGAACAGGTTGGCCTGTTGGTTGTTGCGAATTACGGGTCAAGGCCACTGGCGAGGGGAGAGTGACCCCAGCTTTTGTCGGTGCCTGCCTTCCTTAAGCCTTGGGGATGTCGAGCAGGGGATGCGTCTGTTAAGCAGAACCTAGGTATTGGGAAATTTTCTAGGTTTTTAAAAATAACAGCTTTATTGAGATATAATGAATGGGCGTACAAGTCACTCAGTTAAAGTTGTACAATTCAGTGGCTTTTAGTATATTCACGTATGTGCAGCCATCACCACCAATAGTTTTAGAACACTTTTGTCCTGCAAAGCAGAACCCGGTCCCCATTTAGCAGTCTCTCCCCATTTCCTCTCACCACCCCCCAC